CACTGCATACCAGGGATAGAATCCCATCCACTGAGATCTGCCTAAGCAGGCAATTTAGTTCATTGAGCTATCTGGAAGGCCCTATATATAAGATCTTTTGACTCAGTAAGATATAATTTATAAAGTTGAGGAAAGCTTATCTTATGAGACTATAATAGGATAGAGTGGTCGTGAGATCCTGCAGTAGAATGGAATTAAGGATATTATCTTTTACAGAGCCCAGAATAATATAAAAAGAACTCTGTATTTTTTAAAATCACAATTTAACTCCACACTTTATGACATGTTATAAGAGCTGAATGGTTTGTTTTGGTCAGGATATTCATTTATGAGTTCCAGGAAATAACTTTGATACTTACATTAATAGAATTTATTTTGCTTGGTGAAGGGAAATAAAAAAAAAAACCAAATGGTATTTCCAGAAAAAAATCAGTTTAGAACGCTATGACTCAGTTTTTAGGTGTGTACAATTTTTAAGATCCTATGAATTTAATACAAAACTTAAAAAGTTTTTTAGTAGCCGTCTGCTTCAAGGAATTGCCCTTGTTCCTTTTTGTCATAGTTAAAATCAATTTTGGGAATTATAACTTGAGAAAAGAAATACTACCCTTAAGAATGAGTAGATAGCTAAACAATTCTTAGTGTGATGCATAATGCAACAGGGACTTTTGTAAATTGTCATATGAGAATAAAAATATCATAAGTGGTTAAAAATATAATTTAATATTTATGTACTTAGGGGTCTATATGTCCCTTTAAATCAAAAGATAATTCAAGCTGAAAAAACTTAAAATTTGTGCTTGCTTTTATATAAGTACTTAAAAAGTTATACATAGTAACTTGGGTCACACAGCTAATGCTTTCCACCATGCTGAAAAAGATAACCAAGTTCATGTTCATATGGGAAATATGGCCATGGTTATTTCTTCAGCCTGTGCTGTGTTCACAAAAAAAAATATAGTTTTGGGAAATGTTTGTCTTTTTCACCAAATTGTTTGCAATACCATCTATGAACTGACATGCCACTATGTATCTGGTTGGAAATAACCTAAGATTTGCAAAGGTATTTTACAATTGGCCTGTAATTTTCCCTCTTGACTAAGTTCTTCTATGGTTTTAGAACCAAGGTAGTATTTACTTACAGGAATGACTTTAGAAGTACTGCTTCCACATCAATTTCTTTAAAGAGTTTCAGGTTTAGAGGCATTCATTCTTCTCTAAATATTTTGTATAGTTCAACAGTGAATCCCATGGTTTGTGTTTTTCTTTATGGTGAATTTTTATGGCATTTTCAATTTCATTGATTAAGTTTTTATTTATAAGTTTTATGTCTTCTTGATTTATTTAATCCAATTTATTTGTTTCTAGGGATCTGTTCATTTCTTCTGTTTTCCTTCTTTTTAGACTATATGTTCTTCAAGTAGGTAATGATAATCTCCAGGATTTCTGTGGAATCCACTGTAATTCCACCCTATCATTCATATTTGGTTGGACTTGTACTTTTACTTTACTCCTTTTAATGAGGTTGGCTGATACTTCATCAATTTTATTTATCTTTTTCAAAGAATCAACTTTTTGAGTTATTGATTCTTTGTTTTCTTAGTCTCTATTATATTAATTTTTGTTTGTATTTTATAAATTTCTTCCTAATATGAGCAATATGAGCTTTAGGTTTTTTTTTTTTTTTCTTTTTCTAGAAGTTTAAAGTAAGGTCGATACTTGAGCTTTTCTGTTTTCCTGAAATGTAAGTCTCATTATTCATTTCCTTTGTAAGACTGCTTTCACTGTGTCCCATAAGTTTTCATATGTCATATTGACATTATTGCTTAATTATGTATGCTGTGTAAGTTTGGTTTTTTCCCTGTTTAAAAAAACTTTATTCATAAACAGACAAAATTCATGAATTGTCATATTACCTTTCAGAGGACTCAAGACTACAATTATTTTGTGTACAGCTCATTTTATGTCTCAATCTTGATTACCGATATTTATATTGCACGATTTGTTGTACTGCACACTTTAAACATAATGACTTTTATATCTTTAACAATTTAATGTTGCCTTCCTTGATTACCATTTACTATAATTTCTTATTGACTGTTTAAAATGAGATATCTTTTGTGCTTTTTTTTTAAACCATTTATTTATTTATTTATTT